ATGTGGCATATAAAATAGTGAATGTAATTTTATTCACATGTCTGGCCGCAGGCCAATCCGCTTTGCCCGCCGGCACCAAATTGCACAGCAACAGCAGCAACAGCAGCAACATCAGCAACATCAGCAACCCCGGAACCACGGCGCACCTCTCCTCATCTCGGGTGTCGGTCTTTCTTCGGTGAGTATATAAATATATATATATATATGCCACATTATATGCAGGGGGCAGGGGGCAGGGGCAGCAGACCGGGGGGCTGGGAAGGGGAGCGGACCAGAGAGCTGAAATCCATCATTGGCGCATGGCCCCGGGTCACATTTGGGTTGAAATATTATAATTACAAGCGAACGCCCGCGGGCAAGGCGAGGAGGAAGGTGAACCCAAGCTGGAGCTCCGGCGTCGAACATTGGCATCGCATCGCGAGCTTAGCTTGGCTAACAACCACACTGAAACAAAAGTCCGCTGCATAAATATGGTATCAAAACATTTAGCTGAGCAGTTAATTTGGAAGAGTTAAGACCAAATGCTTTGCAAGCACACCTAAGTAACAAACAGGCGCACTTGAAGAGCAGCTGGTTTTTTTCAGTGCACGCGGCGGGTTGGAGGGAACGGGCCAGTTGGACGGGCGATCGAAGTCGCCTGCTGCGGATATGGATACTTAGTTGTGGTGGTTGTGTTTACGTTGCGGCTGATAACATCCCGTTTTGCTGCTGCCGCTGCTGCTGCTGCTGCGCCAGATGTTGGTGCTGCTGCTGCGGTTGGCGTCGTGCCCCATGTTGCATGCAACACGCTCGACGGCACTCGGCACTTAGACCCCAACGAGCCCCCCAAAACAGTCTTTTCTCAACGGTGGTTCAGTGTGTTTGTGCCGATGGTGTTTGCTTTTGCCTTCGACAACGGCAGCAGGTGAATAACAGTGGCTGTGGCTATTGCACATGCTTTTTTACGCTTGTTTGCCCTGGTAACTTGTTGCACGGCACGTGTTTGGACAACTGGCCGGGTGTCCACATTAGTGGGCGGGGCAGCTGCAGCTGCAGCGCACGATAACAGAAAACAGAGAAGAGTGGCATATAATTTAAGAACAACACCGTCTGCCTATAATTACCCACTACCCATTACCAACTGGCCAAAGAATCACAGTTTTTGTCCCCCAAAATTCATACCAATGCACAGAAGTCCGGCAGCAGGTGACAAGCAGTGTGAAAACCTGGGCGCTGGTACCCTCATTATATGCAAAACGCTGCGTCAGGGCCGCCAGCCACTCAAACTTAACTTATTTTTAACTTGCATATTTTTGCCCATTCTCTGGCATTGCCTCAGCCTCAGCCGCTGCCGCTGCCGCTGCCTCCGCATGTCCTTAGGCCATCTTAGTTGCATGTTCGAGCAATCCTTTCCGTTCCGTTCCGTTCGCTCGTTCCACCCCAAAAAGCTGGAAATAAAGAACTGGTCCTCTCCCATTCATAACTCGCGGCTATATCTTCTTTTGCGTTATATTTCCCTCATTCTGCTTGTCTCTGGGTATCAACTGTCAGTTTTCGAGCTAAAAACGCCGCCGGCTTAGTTTGTAAATCATTAAAATTATGCACACACACACACACACACACTTATTATGTACACTATGCTCGAGCCAACTCACACACACACACACGTGTTGGCTCGGAGAAGTTGGCCAAACTGCATAGGAATCATTATGCAGTTAATGACAAATGTCACGCATTGCTAATGACAAAAGGATGTCGGCAATCGACTCCCAGCCCCTGCCCCACTTTCCCCCCGCAATTAAAAGGCACATATCAAATGGTTGCCACTCTCATTTGCAAGAGTCCAGCTTTCACCGGGCTCAAGAAATTGGTAAACAACCTAATTAACATAAACCATCGAAAACAATTCTGCACAATTTACCGAAGTAGGATGCACATAAAAAATTAATCCTGTCATACAAATCTATTTTATTATGCACTCTGTCATATTTATTTATTTTTCAAATCTATGTATTCCTGTTGGGCAGATTATAGTTTGTTTTTAAGGCACTTAAGGCTTCAACTATAATTAAATGGAGTATTAAATGTATTTGGGGCCAAACTGATATCATTTAAATAATGTCAGCTGTATTACGGCATTTCGATTGGACAATAATTTACAAATCCAAGCCAAATCCTCTTGAATATTACAAATTACCAAAACGAAAGCTTAGCCTAATTGCTATAATGTCGTTCAGCCGTTCGAAGGACCAAAAGGACGTGGATATTTCGCAGTTATTTTATATTGATAATTTCATCAATTTAAGGGACATCGCGCGGTGCCCTTTAAAAGCTATACAAACACCTCGTTTTGGCACGCATTGGCCGTAAAATGATTACCATTCAAATGTTAATGTAAATGTTGTGCCACATATGGATGAATGGCTGGATTGGTGGATGGGTGGATGGATGGATGGATGGATGCCCCGAATTGATGCGATGGTTGATATGTGGTCGCGTTTGCTGCCACTGCCGCTGCAGTTCGGTCGTGCGTTAAAAATTTAACGCGAATTTCAGGCTGCGGCGGCAAAAATGGCATCATTAAGTAAAAGCCCCGCGGCCAGACATTGTGAATTTTATGAGCCTTTTCATATATATGGCTGTGTATATGGGTATATATGTTTTTGTTGCTTGCTCGCTGGGTATCGTTAATAATAAAAAATAAATGTACATTTGTGTGTGCACCCATTCACATATTTTAAAGCTCATACACATTTGCCCAGCCTTGTGATGAGCCGAGCACACATAAATAATAGTAATAATAAAAAATCACAATAATTGATGATGCTGATGCTGATGGTGTTGGCGGTCGCGGGAGCCGCAAAAAATCTGCGGAAATTCTCAGCATATGCGATGCCATTTAAATGTTTGTATTTTCCCATTCAGCATGCAGCATACAGCATGATATTGATTGACAAGCAAATGCACAAGCCTTGAATAAATATGCAGGCAAGTGGGCGGCGGGTCCGCTGGAGGGCGTGGCGAGCGGGCTACTTTAAAAAGCCATCAACAAATAATTACAAACGAGCGCGGAGGAAGTGTATAAATGTCGACGCTGATTCTGAGCTGATCCGCGGATTCGCTTTTACTATATATCTATGCACATGTGTATATATCTGTACACATACATATATAGGTACATGATGTATGTGAGTCCTTGCACCCATACACACCTCCCCCACTCCAGCCACCCACTGCACTGCCCCCAAGCGTTCCAAACAATAAAGCATAAAGCGCGCCGCACACATTTTGTCGAATTATTTTGTTGGCAGTCCGCTGGCGGCTAGCTGCAGCAAATTGGCTTGAAATATTGGTATTGCCATATGTATGAGCTTGTGTATGAGTGACTGAATACGTACGACTCTGCCTCTGTCTGTGTATGGGTGTGTGTATGGGTGTGTGTGTGTGTGTGCGTGAGCTTGTGATTAAAAAAATATTTAAAATGGCAAAAACGCAAAGCGACGTCAAAATAAAGGAGCCCGCTTGAAACAATAAAAGCGCCACCCGCCCCACCACCCACAGCATTTCCCATTCCAATTGAGTGAGTGAAATGAGCGATAAAAATTGCAACGGTTTCCACTCGTCGTACGCATTTGCTTCGATAAAGGATGAAAAATGGAAATGCCACTGCTCGCTCACACGAAACAATTAAAATTTGACATGTTTTATTGAACACTTTAATGCTGGTGTTATTTGCATTTGGGTCCTTGCAGTTGGTTTGCCCCTAATTGCGAGAAATGTAAATATGTTTGAAATATATGAAAAAGTCAAAACGTTCAAGTTATCCGTTTTGTGTATTTATTTTTTTGAGTACCTGCTCCCAGTTGCGAGTCAGATACACGACACCATCTCTAAGCCAGATCGGCGATTCTGCAGCGGGAAAATATAGCGAAATATTATTGTGGCGCATGTACTTGAAAATGAATTTGGCCGGGGGACAAATAAGCGAGCATTCCGAAACAATTGCCAATGAAAAATGATGCGACAGAACTCGCGGCAGGGGCGGCATTTTGGCCACCAACCCCCACCCCCGCGGGCGGTACCTTCTCCAGCGGGTGGGTGGAAAGTTCGCACTCATTTTAATTACAGCTGCCTAACTGCAGGCCTCACTGTACTCGCTCTGTCTCCGTCTCTGTTTCTGCCTCTGTCTCTGTCTCAACCTTCCACCCGCCCCTGCAGCCCGTGTTTTGAAACACGACCCCGGGCGTATTTATCACAAGTTTTTCTTTGCATTGCCGCCGGGCAGCAAAATATTCAGCTGCCTCCGTCGGCAGTCGCAAGTCGCAGTCGCTCCTCGAACGCCCCTTGGGGCACTCCAGCCGGGCTCAGCTCAGCTCAGCTCAGCGCCCCAGTGCCCAGTTTCGTAGTGCTTCGTACCGCCGATGCCGTTGCCGTTGCCGATGCCGAAGTCGATGCCGGCGGTACTGGTTCTGCTTCTTCAAAGTCTCTGGAGCTGATGCCGCACAAAGTTTCATTTCGTTTGGCCGCGGGGCACAGCGTTCTATGCTTTGTCATTAACACAAACACGCACACTGGCAGCCGCTCACGCACACAGAGGCAGGCGCACCAACACACTGGCGTCAGCTGTACATGCACCCACACAGAGGCATACACATGGCCAAGGGCAACAAAAACAAACAGGCTTTGATATTTACAATTATAGAAAATCGACCATATAGAGATGTCCCCCCACGACGAATGCAACTTTTTGGGTAAATTAGTGTGTACACTTCACAAAAAATATACTCAAATTTTTGATTTTATATACCGTACAAACTACATTTATAAAGTACTTTCCCAAATTTCTGTGCGCACACTTCTTCAAACTAAACTAAATCAACTCCATCATGACATTATATTCGTTATGTAGAATTATAGATGACTACAAGTTAACAACAATTATTGCATGGATTTACGAGGCAACGAACTAATTTCACCCAGTCCAATTCTTCTATTTGCAGCTACCTCGTTAATTTGCGGCAGATTAGTGGCAGGCCACAAGAAAACAAGAACAACAAACCCAGATCGGACCACTTAAACCGGAAATAGACCATTAAACGTTCTCACACACACATGCACACGCACGGACAAAGGCATCATATGGTGGAAAAGCCAAGCCGCTAAACAACAAACGGCTGCTGCTGCTGCTGCTGCTGCTGCTCTCTCAAGGTCGTCGGCTCAGACGCCAACGTCGACGAACATCACTCCGCCCCCAAACGCAACAAGACGCAACTCGAGCCGCAACACGCAACATTGGGGAGCCGAGCCATTCACCATTCGCCATTCGCCATCCATCAGGCAGCGAGCTGAATCAGTATTCGAGCAACTCTCGACGCGAATGCAAGTGAGGTAAATTGCCAGCGCTCAAAAGTAGGCAACACTTAGTCTAACGGTGAACGGTGAACTGCGAACGGTAACGGTGTGCGTGGTGTACGGCAAGCGGAAACGGAAACGGAAGTAAACACTCGTTGGCCGCGCCCACTTGATTGAATTTGAAGCGGTTGAACCGAGAGCAACTAGCGATCAGCAGATCGAAGCGAAGCAATCTGAGGATATCGAAGAGCACTGAAGATCTGACAAGACGAGTATCGTTATCTACGCGCGCGTTGTATTAAAAAGAGTTAAAGTGCAATTCCTAAATATACCAACCTTTTTGTGAGTTTCTTGAGCGTTGACGACACATTTAGGTCGCAAATAGAATTTGTTTTGTTTTCTAATTATAAAGTTCAACTCGTCATTATCAGATTATTTATTTGAATTGTCAACGGAAATCATAACAACATTACATCAGTCTTTATTATTATTTTAACTATTATAATCATTTACAAATCTTGGGCTTTATTCTTAAATAAAAAAAGATTTTAAGAAATAAACTCTAAGAAATTGATATTCAAGGGAGTTCCCCATTAGCTCAAAATTGAAAACTCAATCGAAATATAGTTATCTAACATGTTCTTTGCGTTTCTCTCCCACAAAACAGAACTCCATTTGTTGCATTGGATCAACGATCACCGTTGACGGTGGATTCCTCCTGCCCCAAACGGTAAGCGTAAACTGAAAACTGAAAACTGAAAACAGAAAACTTTTCATTTGCAAATGCCCCGAAAATCCCATCCAGCCTCCGAGCTGGCCAATAAATTAGTTTAAAAAAAAGATTCTGTAATAAAACGAATTTTGACACACAACAGCATCGACAGTCCAAGTTGCAGGCCACCCGATCTCTCTCCCTTTGGTTTTGGCCAAAAGCGCCGCTGGCCACTGATTTTCGTCTCTCCCACATGCCAAGTCAGAAATTGTGCGCCATAAACGAAGACTGTTTAAAAAAAAAAAAGAAAAAAAAAATTATACGCCTCAAGTGCTCTGTACCCGCACCAAAGGAGAAATAAACAAAAGTAAGAAGAGTAACCCAGGGAAAAGGGAGCGGCAAAGGAAGCGGGCTACGGCGACGGGGAGAAAAAATCATACAAAATACGCCATGGGCATTTTTGGGCAACCTTAGCCCCCGGCTGAGTTATGTGTGCAGACGAGAACGAGTCGCATTATTTTTTCTACCTTAAAGGCTATAAAATACGATGGTGCTGGGGCGGGGGTCGTGGGTCGAAGCGAAGGAGGGGGCATGACCGGTTGTATTGTGGCTGGTCGAAAACTAAGCGGCCAAAAGATGACCCCCGGGCCAAATACATACAGCACACTCGTACCACAAATTTTTGTTTAGCCAGCGAATCGACGTTCCGTGAGAGTCGTCGTCCGTCCGTCCGTCCATCTGTCCGTTTGTCCGCCAGTTTGTCCGTTGAGTTGGAGCCAAGTCATGAGGCAAAGTTCAAAGCAAGAGCTGCAGTGTGCGGAATTGCATGCAAATAGAGATATCACTCTGCGAAAATGATTCCTTATTAGGCTACATTTTAATACTATCGCACCTCTAAATTGTTGTTTATGTACCACTTTGCTAATGATATCTTTTATCTACACATTTACTCACATTTTTAAAGAACACACGCCCAGAAGCATTTCTAATCTCCATGCTCCCACGACTGTAATATTTTTTCCAGTGTAAAGGGAGTAGCAAGGCGTTGACGACCTTCGCCTGTTGCCCTCTTATTCCACACAGCCCGCTCTTTCACATGGAAGCAACTGGTTTTGGTGTTATCTCTTGCTGTTTCTGGTGTTTTTTGTGTGTTTTTTCTTTGTTTTCGCATGCCAGACACAAGAATTTCCCCACAGAAGGTGGAGTCGAAGTCAAAGTCTTGTTTGTTTGCCTGTTTGTTTGGCTGGAGCCGCAGTTCGCAATACTTTGGACCTGGCAGTTCCCATATACCCAGCTAATTTGTTTTCATTCTGCGGATTCTGGCTGCAGCTACTTGCATTCACATTTGCATTAACGGCCTATACCTGCTGCTGTTTGGAAACGGAAACCGACGGCAAAGTGATTTCCATTACGTGCCAATAGTCAAAGCCTTACTTGCTGCTGCTGCATTTGAATGGCTGAGGCAGTGGCACAAAAGCTCTTAACGCGCTGTGTGTTAATTAAGCTGCAATTCGGCATCATTACCAGCATCAACATTGCGCTGCCAATTTGCCACCAACGGAGTGGCTGTGCCACTGCAACAGCGATGGATTCGACTTCTGGTTATCGCGTGTATTTGGGCTTCCAGATTTTAAAATTTGCCTGCCATGTTTAGCAGCTTGTATGTGTGCTTGAAACAATGTTCAGAATATGGCTTATATTAGATAGCATCTGGCAGTTAAATATGTTCCGCCAGCACCCTTAATCGGATGCCTAATACGCCTGGCTTACACCCTGGTGATACCCAGGACCTCCCATTCCGAAACCCGATTCTTTGGCCGACTGCACCTGCCACCGTTGTTGTTGTGGCATTGGGGAGTGCATTTTACTTCAGTTGCCTTTGTGTTGCATCTGCTGTTGATGCTGTTTTTGGCTGCGATATGCACACGCAAATTGCACCAATTAGGCAGGCCGTATTGTCTGCCGCTGCTAGTTGCACTTGCGAATCCAGTTGCACTGGCAGAAGTGCATCTGAATGGGTTTTGGTTTTGCGGTGGTCCTGCTGCTATGCCTTCTGTTTTCCGGCCGGATTCCGAATCGTGTTCCATTGTTTGAGCGTCGTTCGAGTGGAAACATGGCTGTTAATTATTATGTACACTTGATTAAGTAGCGCCGGCAATCATACAATCGTACAATCATACAATCATACAATGCCCGGCTGAAGCTGCAGTGGAGCTATCAGTGTGCTCACACCCAGCGAGCAACGCTGCGTATGCGCAATGTTTTCCTTTACGGCAATATGCCGACGCATTGCATGCTCATCCATTGCGCTTTTGACTTTCAATTCAATTTTCGAATTTAGCAGAATAAAAACATCTCATCTGTGGATTTATCCAGAATATATTTATGTTTTGCTAGTCGCCGTCGTCATCGACGTGGATGCTGTTGTTTCGCTTTTTTCCAGCATGGAGGTCGTATGTCGGCGAGTTGTGAGTTGGCTAAGTAATGTTTGCTCTGCATACGTGGCTCCCAGCCCCTCGAACACCCCCTGCCCCACCCCCAGCTGCTACAACCCTTGGCCTGCCTTTAGCCGAGTGAGCCATATGCAGCGCAATCGTCGTTTTTATTTAATATTTTCTAATAAATTTTTCAAAGTTTATTTTTGAAAGCCTTGCAGCGTTTTAATATCTGCTGCTTCAGTATATGCCGGGACTCCAGTTACTCGCTCACTCACTCAACTTCTGGCAGACTTCCCTGCCCACACACTCACACTCACACTCGCACTCACACTCATACTCACACTCATACTCAGACTCACACTCACACCGAAGCCCATACTCTATATATTCACATATATATCGCATATATTTGTACAATTTGCCATGGCGCACACATTCTGCAACTTTGGCCAACAATTTTCGTAGCATCGCAGTGGGAAAAGGGAGACGGGTGGGGGCGAGTGGTCTGATTTCCCATATGCCGCAGCTCCAGCTCCAGCTCCGCCGCTTGGATTTGGACCCTTTGGCGAAAGACGACGTCGACGCAGAAGTTGAGTTCGGGCACTGCAGCCAGAGATCCTAGATCTAACAGGGAATGGGAGCCATGCATGGATGGGCGGCGAGTTTGGGCCAGGGTCTCCTGGCTTTGGCTTTTCGTGTTTTACTTGGGACCTCCGACTGGCCGGCAAAAGTTTTTCATTTGCCTGCTCATCAGCGTTTTGATTTTGGTTTTGGCCAACTGCGAAACGAAAACAAGCCAAGGCAGCGGCAGAGGCAGAGGCAGTTGCTCCACATGCCACTCCTTGCCACTGCCTCTCGACCTTCCCAAGATTCGCCCGGAGCCTTTGGATTCTTCTCAACATGTCCCCGGGACATTTTGCAGATTTTTCCTCTGCTGCTTCGTGTGTGTGCGTTTGTGTGTTTACTTTATGTTTGTCTTGGCTAGATACACAAGCGTTTCGTGCCGTTCCGCATTCCCTTATCTGCAGCTCCCGGGAGTCGTAAGTTTGCTTTCTTTTTCCAACCCCGAATATACATAGGTCCTGCCTAATTGGAATCCACCGCCCTCGTCGCCCGTCAAACATAATCTGCTGCTGCTGCTGGTGCCGCTGCTGCAGCAGTGTTGCAATTTGATAAATCTTCGGGTTCCCAATGTTTTCGTATTAACTTTCGAGGTGGATTCAGTGCAGCCGACGTCGCTTTCGCCGCGAGCGTTTTAAAATTGAGATAAGATTTTGCCTCGAAAACTTTCGTTTTGCTTTTTATTTTCCCCATTTTTATGCTTCTGTTTTTATTCTGCTCTTATACACCCCTCCCCAGTTGTTGTGCGAGCTGCCTGGGGAGCATTGAGGCCATGAGACGCAGACCAACTTAGGTATGATATCTTTAAATGCAGGCAACACACATGGGGTATAAGCCAAAGCCAGAACGGACACGACTAGACTTACCTACCAATCGCAAAAGTTTCCGCCTGCAGCATCCATCCAGCCAGCCAGCCAGCCAGCCAGCCATCTAGCCATCCACCTCCGACCCCAGCCTTATCGGAATCGTTGGAGCAGTCGGAGAAGGGTTCGGTTTTGGGTCCGGAACGGCATGGAATGGATTGGGAGGTGTATCCTTGCCGTTGTGGTTACTGGCTATGTTCCTGCTCCTTTGTTGTTGTTGCTGCTGCTGCTGCTCTCGTTGCCGTTAGCACTGCAAGGATAAATGAATGAGGAGGCACCCGGCATCCATACACGGCCACCCACACACTCAAGCGGAGTCACATGTATGAGCCGGAGAAGCCCTGAAGGAAGCACCCCAGAACCCAGTGGTGGCAAAGGGGGTGAGTGCGGGCAGGATAACCCCAAGTTTCAATCCGAAACACCGGGCACGGGACCGGGCACGGGCACGGGCACGGGCACCTTGCCCGACTACAGTGGGCACTCGCTCGTGCAGAGCCCCAGTGGATTACAGGGCCACACCCCTGCTCCGACTCTTCCTACGCCTTCCATAGAGCTGTGTTGATGAATAAGCTCTCCACCTTCCGAGGGTCCTTTGGCCCCCAGTTCCGCCCGTGTTCCGTACTCCTTGGCTCGGCTCGGCTTGGCTTGGCTCGCTTTCCTTGCTTGGTTTCGTTTCGTATCCATCCATGATTTCCGCACTAATTCCAAACGATCGCCGCGGGGCTAGTCAGCTTTTGCCCTTTTTCGCTAGCTCTCTCGCTCTTGCACAGCTAGCCTTCTCCTTCGACACTGGAAAAAACGTATTGCCACCCAGAAAATATCAATCACGCATGCATTACTTTCTGCCGATATATACGAGTATTACCAATACTTTGCGCAAGTTTTGCAGCGTATAATTAGTTTTATTGTTAGTAATTATGCGCTGCCATAGGAAGTGTGGCCCATTTTTGTGAGTGCAGCTACCAACCAGTACACTCGGGCTGTCTGGCCTTTGTGTGCGGAAGGTTGGCTGGCCGCAGGACATTTTCTAGGGTTACATAGTCAGCGTCGCAGTCGTCAACGTCTGATGCTCTGCCTAGGTGTGTGTCGCTATCTCCGTGTGGCCGAGGACGAGGATGAGGATGAGAACGAGGGTGTGTGTGATGTGGTGTGCACTTTAGCTCATTTCTTGGCTTTTGTTTTCGCTTTTGTCCTGTTTTGGGTGGGCGAACGCCAGCAGTGCCATACGATCCGAAAACCGAGCAGCCCGAGTCGTGGGGAATTGCCTGGGTGGCACTGAAATGGGCGGGTAGCCACTCCGGTTATCCTCCCAGGATTCGAGCATTGAGCATGTGCCAACGGCCAGTTTTGTCCATAATTCCATCTTGGAAAATGGTTTGGCCCCGGGGCCAGTTCATCCCGGACTGGTCAGCAACCTGATATCCAGCTCCGCACTCACAATCTGAACAATGGAAAACTAATAAGCTCACAGCAGTCATCTCTTTCTCCCGGAGCCGAATGAAACATGAAACTCAGTGAGAAGTATAAGAGGAAGTCTCCGTCCCAGCAAATGTGCAATGCCAAGAGTTAAGAGTTAATGGCATTGCCATTAAAACCAGACCTGCGCCAGGCAAAGATGTCAAATAATGACCACAGAAAGGACGAGGATGCAGAGCATCTGTGGAGCAGGCCGGATTGCCAGGATGCCCAAATGATGCGGGGAAGGAAGTCGGTTGACAAATATGACTACGGCAAAGGCAACTCTTCAATATTCATATTGGTCAGAGCTGTGCAGCATGAGCAAGTTCACTGAGAAATTTTGGAATCAGCTTAAGCCTGATCCCATAAACATGCTTCTTTGCATATAAAACATCAAATGCGATTTCGTTTGTAAATACAAATATCACACTTATATTCCATCATTGCGTGTAAAAATCATTTGCATTTAAAAAAGATTCGATTTTTTGCAAATCTCTAAAAATCGGATTAAACCGGACATATGTGGAAATGATATATTTTGAAAATGCGACATATTTGCTCCACGTCACGTGCTCAGCACTTGGTCTCATCTCAAGTGTAACCAAAGGCGCTGCGAACAACTCCAGCAACTCGGCCCAGCCCGCCCAGCCGGCAGCCTTGCCCCTCAGCCCCCAGCCCCTTGCCACATTACCCCCCGCGCCCACTGCTCGGCTCATCCTGCTACTAGACGGCATAGAAAAGATACCGCCTGTGGCGGTAATGGACTAGAATAGGATGCAAACTGCAGTGCTTGTCTTATATACAATACCGTTAGCTCAGGGTGTCCACAGCCCCACACACACACACACACATTCCCATATGTGTCCCAAACTCTGCCTCTGCGTGTGTGTGTGTGTGGAGCTTGTTGTTGTTGTTGCACCTGCTCAAGTGGGCCGCAAAGCAATTGAAATTGAATTGTTTGTGTGGCAAGCCAGAGCTCAGGCATTGCATATTTTGTGGCTGCAACTGCAGCAGTTGGCCCTAGGAGGAATGTGGCCAGGAAGGAGTAGGAGTTTGCCGGGTGGGGGATGGGTAGGAGATAGGGGGGTATGGTAAAGGATATTGACTAAGAAACCATTAAGCCAGATCCCATAAACGAATATCCAATGTTTGATTGAACGCATTACTCACGCTTTATAATTGGCGTAAATTAATAAAAACCAGCTGTATATGCAGCACTCCAACTGGGTGGCACAGTTGTGAAGCTCCTCACTCGCCATTGCTACCATGAGAATGCCTTGCAGCCATTTATTTTGTGCATTTTTTCATCGTGCAACTCACTTGGTTTCCATTTGAAACCGTAACCCTGTTCGACGCTCGCTCCTTACGTTTCTATTCGCTTTTTAGCCCTCGCACAATCGTACAATCGCACAGTGGTACACCCGTACATCCACTGCCTCTCCGGTTCCCATTCGCATTTGAATGTTCATGTAGTTAAAGTTAATCAAATCGTAATTACCCAGCCCGAGTCGTCGTGGCCGCAGGGCCTCAAACATTTAAAAAAAGCAAACTTGTTTAGCTAGATGGACAGCGGTGATTTGTGGCGAAGCGAGGTACAAATGCTCTTCCACGGGCAAAAGCGATCGGTGATATACATTTCAGATATGGTGTTTCCATCATCACATTGCTGAGAAAGTAGATTTAACAGATTTCCGTTTGATTTATTATTTTTTAAGGGGGAATATATTTTACTAAGAGAAAAATAGAAAAGTGTTAATTTCCTAATAGCTGTATAGCTCATGTCCCAGCTAAGCTACCTTTCAAGGGTAGTTCCATCGTACGTACATTCATAACTGAAGAGAACTGTCTGTAAGCCAAGTTAATGTGCATAAAGCATGTGAACATTTGTCATATGGGGCCAACTCGTTTTGAGTGGTTCGCTGGCTGGTTGATTGAGTTTTATTAATTTGCGGTCCTGGACTCGAGGAACTGAAACTGATACTAATGATGGTACTCATGATGATGATGATGATGATGACCAGGGCTTTGGCTCTCACTTTGCAGATTTAGATGTAGCCACGTAATTGGTGTTGACTTTGTTAAGACGGCTCAGCGGGCGCGTTGCGCATACGCCATGTGGCACGCATCCGACTGACACGTCATAATTGGCGAGCCCACACCGCACATTGCCGCTTTCCACCGCGAAACAATGTGATTTTCGTGTGAAATTCGACTGGCAACCCTTCCGGCCAATACAACCACAACGACGAGTGCTAAAACGATGCACTCGATGGCCGTTAACATTAACTGCATCCACAGGCCGCCCAGTTCGGGCTGGTATATGGTACATGGTATAAGCCATGCGGGAATGGCGATTTGGTCTTGTCCACGACCGAAGCTGCAGAGAGCCGATCGCTTGGGGCTCGACGCCCCGTAACCGAGATGGAAACGCAGTGAAAATCCAGATATTCCCACACAATCAGCCCAAGACCATGGCCATATGAAATATATATGTATATATATCTATATGTACGTACGACTTGGCTCTGCCTCCCTACAAATCGGTCTGTACGCCTATGTGTGTGTGTGAACTTTTATGGGCCCTGTGGAGAGCTGCTAGCCATGTTTGGTCCGTCGCGGCATTTTCGTTGTCACGTTTGCTGTCCTCCGCCAATGTGGCTGTCCGTAATCAGAGTCAAGTCAATTTCAGTTTGGCGCGGGGGACAAATTGGTTCTCATGATTAGCGTTTTCGGAGCCCCTGACTTATATAAGCTGCTCTCATTACTTGTAAATTATGTGATAAAAGCCGGGATTTCATTTCTTTGTTTTAGGAAAAAATGCGATATGGACCGAGAGCGCGAAAGAGATGTCAAGGCCCTGGAGCCACGCGACTTGTCCTCCACGGGCCGCATTTACGCCAGAAGCGATATTAAAATCAGGTAAGCTGGGTTTTGCGAGCCAAGATATTAATTAGCGTAGTAAAGTATAGAATTACCATATTGTACGCTTGCTTGGAAAGAAAATACTTTGAAAGCTCCTCTCCTGAATATTAAATTAATGTACTTTTTGGTTTAATGCCGGTGCAAAATGAGTACGAGTTTTTTCTTCGTAAATTTTAGCAGATATTAAAATGTTGAAGAATGTATTGGTTTTATACCGCAAATGTGGGAGTTTCAAAGGTTTTGAAAAGTTTCTGACAGCTGCAAAGCGCTGTGGAATGCAGAGTACTCCATCGGCAGCATGATGGATGCGAGCATCCACGCCACATTTCCATTGCCGCATTCCCTCCTGCCGCAAACAATCTCATTGTGAATTCGTGAACGGCTTTCGCCCGCAGCTCCTCGCCAACCGTCTCGCCAACGATCTCAAACTCCTCTTCGCCCACTCCGACGCCACCCGCCAGTTCCTCAGTGACGCCGCTGGGATTGCCCGGAGCGGTGGCAGCTGCTGCCGCCGCCGTCGGAGGAGCCTCCTCGGCGGGGGCCAGTTCCTATTTGCACGGCAACCACAAGCCCATCACCGGGATACCGTGTGTGGCCGCCGCCTCCCGCTACACGGCACCCGTTCACATCGACGTGGGCGGGACCATCTACACCAGCTCGCTGGAGACGCTCACCAAGTACCCGGAGTCGAAGCTGGCCAAGCTCTTCAATGGCCAGATACCCATCGTGCTGGACTCGCTGAAGCAGCACTATTTCATCGATCGCGACGGGGGCATGTTCCGCCACATTCTTAACTTTATGAGAAACTCAAGACTTCTGATTGCCGAGGACTTTCCGGACCTGGAGCTGCTGCTGGAGGAGGCACGCTACTACGAAGTGGAGCGTAAGTATTCTACCTGAGAGTCACTAGTGAAACAAGTAGCTCAAGAACTTGATCCATATAAATAAATATCCATCCGATGAATACATACTATTCTCGGTATTTCTGTTGAATTTATTCAGTTATTCATATGATTTGACTACTCACTTGATATTTTTTCTCTGTGCATCGAACCTCGTTATGGCCACCAGCAATTATAGCTAATTTGCTCTTCTCCCTGTCTCCATTCCCTCTCCACATGACCGACCGGTGTGCCCACAGCGATGATTAAGCAGCTGGAGAGCATGCGCAAGGATCGCGTTCGCAACGGCAACTATTTGGTGGCGCCACCCACTCCACCGGCTCGCCACATCAAGACGAGCCCGAGGACCAGCGCATCGCCGGAGTGCAATTACGAGGTAGTGGCGCTGCACATCTCGCCGGACCTTGGCGAGCGCATAATGCTATCGGCGGAACGGGCTCTGCTCGACGAGCTCTTCCCTGAGGCCAGCCAGGCGACACAGTCGAGTCGCAGCGGAGTGTCCTGGAACCAGGGCGACTGGGGGCAAATCATCCGCTTCCCCCTCAATGGCTACTGCAAGCTGAACTCGGTGCAGGTGCTCACCCGACTCCTCAACGCTGGCTTCACCATCGAGGCAAGCGTTGGGGGCCAGCAGTTCTCCGAGTATCTGCTGGCGCGACGCGTTCCAATGTGATAGGCTCTGGCTCGGGATTCCCCAGCTCCCCAAGAAGCTGCAGATGTATCGATGATTCCCTCGGCTTCTGCGGCTTCTGTGGCTTCTGTTTCCGGTTCCGGTTCGGATTCGGGCTCGGGTTCGGGTTCGGCATCCGGCTCTTTGCGACGCGGACGTCTGATCCATGTGCGTTGCAGGCGCTAATTGATCTGGGTTTGGGACCCAGAATCACAGGTGGGGAGAGTAGTCTATGAACAATTCCAGGTGATACAAAGTACTGAGAAGGGCAAATGGAAAATCAAGTGTCACGCCGAATTGTTTATATTTTTAACACATTAACACTCTATTCACCACCGTTTGGGGACTGCGCATTGCTGCTCTGAGCAGTGAAATACATATTTTAGAAATACTTGGGCACCGTTCGGTGAGGATGCAAGTTCTGAATCTGAATCCAAATGTTATTTAATGTTTATCAATTAAGTTTGCTGGCACGGACACTGAACGCAAACACGCTCGTGCGTATTATTAAGCATTTACAGAGCCAAGAGCCCAGCACTGATTTTGTTTTTTAGCCTTGAGTTTAAGTCGATATTGTTTTCTATAAGTGTACCACCTACTGCTAATGACCCTAAGTTGTTTCATTGAATCGAGTTGGCCAGGGATATTAGCTGGCTTAAATTATTGTAACACACACGGAAAACTATGGTAGTATCAACTCACAGCGAAATAGTTTTGTAGTACTTAATTGATGTAATTGAACCTTTATGAATGTAACTATGGGATAACTTTTTCAATATATACGATCCGACGTCTAAATAGTCTACACCAATTCAAATACAATTACATGCAAATATAGATATATTCAACAAAATACAGTTTGCGACCACGCCCTCTATAGAACAACCACTCAATTGAATATTTAAATAAAGAAAAAACATACGTGTAAACTGTTCAATTTCCTTTTTCGCTGCTTAATTTCAAATTTGTATATTTGGCGGGCACCAACCGGTTAAGAAATACCGGCCGAACCGGTAAAGTATGCACATGACTTCTACAAGTAGAATGTAACGTAAGTACGACCATTTTACATGCCATGTTTACATGTCATACATTTTCGGTACGTAAAATACGAAATTATTCCTTACATTTTGTAACATTTATGTAGTTTGCTTACTCTCTGGGAAACCGGAAGAGAGCAGCACATTCCAATGAAAAGATTTCGAGTTTTATTGAAAATAATTTTATTTGTGTATATATACTTTCCACATACATGTAAATAGTCTATTTTAAATTAAATTAACTTATTCAGTAGGCATAACTTGGCAAATCTACACGTGTACATGTAGTACATATATTGTATATTAGAAGTATATGTTTGTGTGGATTACTTATGTATCTTGATCAGTAACATATCGGCTAGGCATTCCCTTACACTCTAGTGTGCCAACAAGGTATTTGAAATCTTTAGGAGATTTGCATCGATCGATGCATGGCACGCTCGGGATTTGATTGTCAAACTTGATATATCGAATGGGATTTGAAACTTGGCCTAAAACTGCATAAGATCGGTACTTTGCTACTATTTTCATTCGCTTAACTGTGTCGAGTCGTTCGATTTGTTCATCGTGTTAGAAGTCCTTAGGTCGAGTCCTACAAACTATATCACAGTTGGAAACTAGGCGCTAAAAGAGACGACTACTACTACCTACAAGTACAAGAAGTAATTGACGCCCGAGGGAACTGGACATCGGCTTAGCTTAGTGGGCGCCCTCCGGCGGAGCCGATCCGGTTGGGATCTCTTCGAGTTTGGCATGGCGGAGGCGTCTAAGAAATGCACTATCGGTGTTTTGTTCTCGTAATTACAGGATTCTACAAGCGCAGGACCGCGACGACGATCCCTGCTGACTACTGTCTTACGGGCTAGGATAGAGAAGTATACACAAAGATGCGGGGG